GTAAGGTCAGGGTCCAGACATTATTATTAGACGTGCCGATGAGCGAGGAGCGATGTCACCCCCTAGTCAGATTGCTCGCCAAATCCGAAGAAATATTTTGCTGGCCACAGCACAAGCGTCAGAAAGCGTCGTAAGGTATCAATTTCTTGTAGATATTCAGTCACTTGAAGGTTTCAAAATAAGAAGAAGTGAACCAGATCTTTGGCCAAGATAAGTATGGTGCTTTTAGCAAAACCTCCTGTATTGACGTAGAGCTGACCGGTTTTGATATGCCTTGACCCGCGGAATCGGATAGAATCGGTCACATAGCCTGACGGATACATGATTTAGCCACGACCAGGCTTTTTACTAAGAAGTACTTGCAAAGAGTTTCGTGCTGGCTTGGACCATCCTATCGCTGCTCTTGACTTTGAAAGAGCCTCGTTGTTTGAATCTCGATGGCAATGCAATCTTTGCTTAGGCCAACAATCCTGCGTAATTTGCCGCCACTCTGAAAGACCCACTGCTAAACCCTTCCTCCTTAACTTGAACCTCCTATGGGTTAATAATTAAAGAATTGGTATCGTTGATGGAATTTAGCGCTCAATTTGAATTCGGTGATGACCAATCAACTTGATGAGCGCTTGAAAACAATAAATATCGTAGAACGATCCTTTCCAACAACAATGCCCAAGTAAATGATATCTCTCCGGATGCCATTGCACCAGCGCCCCTGAAGTCATATTCACTGACCTAATCTAAATTTTATTCACTCTCCCCTTGGTTGTCGGCATCCTAACATAAATTTACAAAGAATCCCTAAACCTTGACCCACAGCTTCTTATTGGCCTCTAAATAGTCACGAAGGGTTTTATTCCCGATAATTGATTTGCTGCTTGAGAACAATGCTTCTTCCTCCCCGGCAGCAATCTTGGTCTGAACCCACGCCAACAGCCCTGCGTACTCTGCTTGCCTTCCGAAGCTCTGAAATATTTTGCTGAATTCTTCCTCCGAGATCCTTTTATGGGTGATCTTCCTCCCAAGGACCGCACTCAAGAGAGCCGCTACCTACCGACAAGGTTTTGGAGGTTAGCTTTGTGATATATTGTACCCCAAACATTTCGCTGACCTCGTCATGGGTGTATAACTGGGGACCTACTACATAGAAATCGGTGTTTCGGCCCTTTTCAGCGACCAGGGCGTCATAGGAAGCTTTGGCGATGTCGTCTACTGCAACAAAGGGTACCTTTCCATCTCCCCAACGGAGAAAATCTCGTCCCTATCCCGAATGCTTTGGATATATGCGGAGCCAAAATTCTCTATTATAAAGTAGGCGTCAGGTGAGATATTCGTCTTTGAGCAGAAGAACCTCAAATCCAAAGACAACGTACCCATAAACCACGAGTTGCGCATAATGGCGTAGTCCACCCCAATATCAGCGAGGTACTCGTGTACTTTGCCGTATCCCATGCCTCCCTTCTCGGTCACACTCGAGCCATTCATCACGAATCGCTTAACGCCCTTCGAAATAGCCAGGTCGATGAAAGGTTTCACAATTGCAAGCGACTCGAACACTGATGGCAGGACGAGATAGACTTTATTGATATTCGGGTCGACCTCGAAGGGGGCTGCAAATGTCTTCTCGTCGAACCAATCGAATTTGACCGCCTTGAAAGGCTCCGGAGCAACTCCGGACCGCGAGGCAATGAGCACTGGGTAGTTGGCGGCATGGAGGAGTTTCGCAATCTTAGACCCTGTCTTTCCCGTTCCGCCTGTGATAAAAGTTGTCATGATAGTGGAGGTTGAAGTTCCTGTTCTGTCGAGTAAATTTACGTTGGGGGGATTTGATTGTCACTTCAGCCACTTTTAAACCTGTAGGAGCGGAATTCTCTTATTAAGCATCCACCGACAAATTTCTTAGTTAGTCATGCAACACCCCTCAAACATCGTCCTTCCAAGAGGATAAACGAGCCCAAGGTGCTCCAGAATCACGCAATACATGAACCACACACTCGCCGTCCCAAACCGCTGTTTCAAGGAATTAATATTGTTGAATTTGCGAGTGCATTGGTCCCACTTACTCAGTTGTAAATACGCATGGAAGTCGTTGTGCCATCTCTATAACCGTTTTGTTTCAGCTTGAGTTGATATTGGTCTTCGGAGACCGGAATATATCACCTTTGGGCGTTTAATCCGATTGGAACATGGAATTTGGTATTTTTAATATTTGATAACAGCGGAAAGAAGTGTTCGATCAATTGGCAGCTCCGGACGTATTGTTGATGGAAATTAGCGCTCAGGCTTCGGGATGATCGATGATGGCCAATCCGCGTGCCTTGCGCTTAAAACCGGGATCACTGTGGCAGTCCCAACAATTTGAAGTATACATAGTCCCTACCGCTCCGTGCTCCTCATCTCCGTCCAATCCTCCATAAGGATACCCATCTGAATAATGTCACTCCAGGCGCCATTACACCAGCGTGCCTTGCGCTGGCGTCCTTCGTTAATAAATCCACTACGTATAAACGATCAGCGGGGATTCTCTTTGGACCGAATAAGGACGCAGAAAATGGACTGACATTTTCTTGTAGACCGCAATGGCTCGTTCATTTCCTTCATAGACCACGAGCGAAATGCGGTGCATATTGAGATGCAGAAACGCGTAGTGCACCATAAACTTCGTGATCGCCTGCCCATACCCCTTGTTCCAAAATTCTGGCATTAATACGATGGAGTAATCCGAATGGCGGTGGCCACGCTCCGCATTTCCCCACAATGCAGTAAAGCCAACAAATTGAGGCTTGGATGTCATAATCTCTCTTGCGTCTGAGGATGATGCTTCTCCGACCGCGATGGGCGAGGGTGATGGGATGGTCTCGATGATGCAGAACATTTCTGCCTTTTTATCTATGATTTCTTTGAATTCTTCTTTGATTTGCTCCCCTCGTGGAACAATAAACCGATGTGTTATGAGAGGCGCAACTTGGGTATTGTTGTAAATGCCGAGGATGCTATCAAGGTCGCTCGCAGGTGGGGGTTGGAAAGCGCGCAGGCGGAGGCCACAGGTAAGGTCGAACATGGTGACTTCAGACGATTCACTGCTTCAGTTTCAACCCTTTAACGAGCGAGAGTACCGAGAGTACCGCATTTGCGACTCGGACGGCACTGCTAATTGTAAGATTTGGATTGGAACTGGAAAGAATTACCCAGGTTGCCAAAGAAGCTTAAGCGGCCCCGAACAGGCTAGTGCCTCGTAGGAAGAACGCGGTCGACCGGTGTGATTGACGATCGCGAAATCCCTTTCATGCTCCCCATTTCATGAGTTCCTTGAGGAATCTGAGAGCATTTCTCCCTACCGTGGTACTCCCTGGGATAGACATAGATCCACTCATGAGTTGCTACGTTTCTGTCATGCCCAGAACTTTACGGGAAGACAAGTCATACTGTGAAATGACTCCAATACCCCCAAAGGTTGATTCTGATGTGTCTATTCATAGCAAGGTCTGTTAGCCGGTTGGCACGCATATGGTTGGCTCGGACGAACATCCAGCCACTGGCAACCAGGGAGATACAAATCGCAGAGGTCAGGCCAATGTATAACGAAATGGACCCAAGTAATAAGGCATAGGAATTCAATTCAATTTATTCCTTCCCTCATTCTTCCAATCGCCTACCAGCATCCCCATGTAAATCGCGTCCTTCCACGCACCGTTCTGCCAGTTCGCCTTGCGTTGCCTTCCCTCGACAATGAAACCGCTGTAATTTTTATCGGAAGAAATAAACGCCACCCAGTATAATGGACAGCATCCGTATAGATAAAATGTACTCGTAACTCACCGTTGTTTATATATAGCAAGCGTCCCGTCATTTCCCTCTGAGTCTTTAACCGCCAAGAATATACGATGCATATTCAGGAAAGCGTAGTCGACCATAAACTGCGTAATCTTCGTCCCATAGCCCTTGTTCCAGAACTTTTTAGCGAGCGTGATGGCGCACTAGGTCGAATGTCAGTGACCGCGCTCCGCTCCTGCCCACAAAATGGCGGACCCAACAAACTCGGGCTCCGCCACCGAGGATGACCCGGAAGATGTCTCGCTAGGAGCTTCAGTGGATTTCGTTGTTTGGGAGGCGGCCGATGGAGGAAGCGTCTCGACGATGCAACACATCTCGTTTTTGTCGAGGTTTTCCTTATATTGCTCCCAAATTGCTCCCTTCTTTTCTCTCCTTGTGGAACAGGGAAGGCAACGTAAGCCCCGGCCGCGACATCTGCGTCGTTTTCAAGGGCGATTATGCTGTCTAGATCGGTGGCAGGTTTAAAGGCCGATATCTGGGAGCTCGAACATAGCGAAAGTCAATCGACTATGCCTCGCTTTAAATGAGATAGCGTGGTGATTTGCCGAGGAGGGAAAAATGGGATGACGACTGATGACGACGGGAGAATTGGGGTTGAATCCCGCGAGCTGCAACTTATATAACTTCGTTTTTGAAGACGGAGTCTGCTGCCAGTGCGGTGTCTTGCCTGAAGTTGAACGAAAGATTTACTGACGGTACGCCGAAGTAATGTTTACTTCAAGAATTCAAGTGATGGCTGCATTCCAAAGCAAAGTAGAAGAACCTGAGATCTTGGTCATTTGATCACCCAGCATCTACGCGCTGTGCACTCACATATCATTTGATGAAACAGCCATGAGAGCCGTAGCCTTGTGAAATACGCACCCCATGGGCCCAACACTGGGTGCCAGTGGAGAATTAACGACTCGAGAAAGAAAGGACCGACGCGTCCGTAATACTAACTTGAACTTGGAGGTGAATGTCCAGACGTGAGAACTTCGGATGACCAAGCAAATATGAAAACGAGCATTCAAAACGGAGGCGACCTACTCTGTTCATGTAAATCTCTCTTTCATCGTCGCTTTATTATAAATAAATTTTCTTTCAATGACATTATATATTGGCAAAAAATTGTTTAATGGGATTCATCTAGCATTAATAAAATGCTTAAAAAAGTGATTCATGGACAACTCTCTGTCTGGGAGTCGAACCCAGCTTTCGCGCGTACTCTCGGTTATTATGACAAGCGCGTGTACTAACCGATATACTAACAAAGACATATCATGTCTTACGCATAAAACTAGAAGTTCTAACTGTTGAGAATATCGTTTGAGTTTGAAACTGACGTGACTTATAGCAGGCGCATGGGTCTGGCTATAGCTACTCTATATAATAAAGCAATCCATCTCAGCCTAATCTGCCGCACCCTGCTTCGCTTCCAGTGCCTCCCTCAGACCCCCTTGTCCTTCTCCACCTACGACAGCTTGCACGGCCGCTGCCAGTCCACTCTGCAATGGCTCTGACTCCACTGAATCTTCTGTGCGTGCGCTTAGGGGTGGCTCGAGCTCCACCGGTACGTCCGTCATGGGTACGACCCACTCCATGTCGATGTCGACGTCGATAATGGCGCTGCCAAGCCCAAGGGGGAAGTCGAGGTCTTTGCGGGTAAGGGAGAAGGTTGTTTTTAGGGAGGCTGGCGAGGGGGACGTTGATGTTGATGTTGATATCATGTTGGAAGAGGAGGAGGGAGTAGGAGAAGGGGGCGGTTGCAGCATGTGGAATGTAGGTATGAACCAGAACCATCCAATAAACACCTGTCGTAATGAATCGAGAATCATCGTTACTGCTTCCACGAAATTAACACAGAAACGAATTCAGAAACCCACCTGTCCAACATAAAGTTTCACCCTGAGCTCTCTCCCCGCATCCAAAACGATACCTTTATCCAAATTGGCACCGACAAGGGCATCTTCAGGTTTATTCAAATCCAGCGAAGTCGTGGTGACATCGTTCATCGAATTTGCCTCGGAGTGCGACATGCCAGTCGCGTCCGCATGTTGGGCAATCGCCTTGAGGGTCTCCTGGCGTTCGTGGTGAGCATCTGCGGCCTTTGCATGCAGATCATGCTTAAGCCCCTGCCAGCGTCCTTCTGATAGTGGACAGAGGGTGTATACAAGGATTTTTTCTCCCTGACGATGGAAAGGTGAGTCGAATGAAACTCACAACAAAAATAAGGAACGGGAAGAGATAAGTATGAACCTTTTCGTCCACAACCATCTCCTCTGACCCGTCGACAACACCCAGCCTTGCAAAGCTCCTCACCATCTTTCCCTTATCCCACTTGCCGCTATTGAAAGTCTGACTCGGGACCTCTTCTTCCGTTGATTCTTCATGGGACAGATGCTCCGACCCGTGCCGCTTCTTCCCTAAGTGGCCGTCAGGATCGCGTGTGTACGCCTCCCACTCTTCGAGGAGGTCAACGAGGCGGTCGTCATACCGCGCTAGTGACGCCCAGACCTGGCTCTGGGGTGTCGGACTTGAACCACTGCCAGCAGTAGGTCCCTTGGCCATGCCCGTCTTCTCAATGACCATGTTTGCTGCGCGGACAACGCCCATCTTCACGCCCGACGTCTCCCGCATCCGGAGCTTCAGCTGGGTCAAGCGCACCTTCGGTCTCGGCTCTGTGCTCCTCTTAAATGTTAACGTTGGGTCCAGCTGCGTCGTTGAGGTCGGTGTCACAGCCCACATATCTTTCGGTGCCTCATGTGCGAGCAGCAACGCCCAATAATACAGAAACCGTCGCTGACTTGGGATGCTCACGCCTTGCTTCACTTTGCCTGCCTTCGCAGGGTCCTTCTCCGAGGGCGGCTTCATTCGACGCGCCGTATGTAGATCCAGGACGCCTTTCAGTGCGTCTGTGAACGATTTCTCGGGGTTTGGCGTTGTCGATCTAGGTGAGGAGGCTCCGGTGTCGACGTCCAGAATACCGTCTGTGTCCGACCGCACGGGTTTCTCGAAGAGGGGCGACTCGGACAGCGGATTAATGGAAATTCCGGCAGATAGTTGGTTCTCGTCGTCGGAGGGAAGAGCATCGATGGTACATTCCATACGCCTTTTCGCCCATTCCTTCGCTGTGTAGCTGCGTTCGAGTTGCGGAGGCATGGGGCTGTCGTCCAGTGAAAGAAGGTATGCGCACGCCATCGTTCCAGAACGGCCCTTGCCAGCTTTGCAATGCAGGACGGCTACGCGATCTGGGGAGCCTTTTAGCCAGACGTGCATCTCCCTCGCGACGAGCGGCATCATGGCAAGTGGAGGCGCACTGGAAATCGTTCAACATACGTTCGTGAACTCCTGATATACACTCACTGATGATCCGGGAATGGATATCGACTGACGCGCCCTTCAAATTCATCCGCGTCGTACGAGTTCTCCTTGATCGGACAAAAGTTGAAGACCCAGTAGTTCTTCCCGTGTCGATGCTCGAGAAATCTGATGGCATCTTCCCTACGATTGCGGTACAGGCCTTCAATTCCTGAAGCTGGATAGCCCATAATTATAACCTGGTCCGTTACATAGACCAAATCTACACTACCGGTCAGAGTTGTCTAAAGCTCCAAATCCAATTCACATACCCAGCTCGACGTTGAGGTTGTGGTCTTTGAATCTGGCCTTGTTCCCTGATACAAGTCGGCGAATGTAGTCTGTCATTGTGGTGGTAGAAAGGAGAAAAGCAGGGAGGAGGTAAGTGGGAGACTGAGAGTTCGGTTTGAGCAAAGTCGGTTTGTGACGTCACAGGAGCACTTGGGCTAGGCCCACTGAGTACACCATCTCATCACTTTTGCTCACTCTATCCTCAGCAGCTATGTAAATATACATTTAGTGCATGCGCACATCGTATTTAACTTGCTCAATGTTCATATGCCATAGATGGCGCAAAAGAAGAGAGAGTCGACCTTCTTTCCATCTGGGCGCCAGTTTCATTTTCGAAGTTCGAACAAGATCACCAAGTTGACGCTCAATGTTTTCTCTCGTTCAAGACGAAAGAAAATGGTTTCCAAAAGAATACAATGTCATAATTTGGTGATTACTGAATTTCTAAGCTTCCAAACTTCTTCTCTCTGCCCATTCTTCTTGCAGAACACCCATGTGGATGTTGTCCTGCCATGAGCCATTAGTCCACCTTGCTTTGCGCGATCGAACTTCCTCAACGAATCCACTTTATAGTATGCAGCATGCGAGTCATCAGGAAAGTATCGAACTAAAATCGAAAGCACGTACATTTTTTTGTAGACCGCTGCCGCTCGTTCATTCTCCTCATGTACAATGAGGGATACGCGGTGCATATTGAGCGAGATGAACGCATAGTCCACCATAAACTTCATCACTTCCGTTCCATAGCCATTATTCCAATACTCTGGAAGGAACCCGATCCCCACATTCGTATCCCGATTTCCTGGCTCCTCCTTTTGTTGGAAGTTGATGAATCCAATGAAGGCCGAGTCTGGGTCGGCGTCTAAGAGCTCGACAATGCAAAACATAATGGCTTTGTCGACGGCCTTATTCACGTACTCTATCGACATTGTCCTTGGGACAGGGAATAGTGAATTCATTAATGGCGCCACATATCGGTTATTCGTCAGGCGAAGTAGGTTATCGAGGTCGGACGGGCGACAGGCACGAAGGCGGAGTCTTTCTGTGACGAACATGGAGTGTAACTTGTTGGAGGGGTCACCTCTTCAGAGATTTGTTAAAATATGAAGGCGAAGCTGCGGAAAGGGGGTATTTGAGGGGTTCGAACAGCTGCGCGCTACGCAGTTACTGTAGGTCAAAATTATCTGCCCCAGAACAGTGTACACAGCGTCAGTGGCTCGAAATCAGCCGATACCTACGGACTCAATTTCTAATTTTGCCATCCAGGATCTTCTAAGAACTCGATGATGCAGAACATATGTGGGCTTTCGACGAATTTCCTCGTCTCATCTTCCGAGGTGCTGCGGTGGCCCGAAGACTGATTACAATCACAATGTGACTCGACCGCAGACTCAACTATCTCTCTAGATTCGGGAGCTTGTGGGATGGAGCAAGGCAAACGCTTAGGCCTTTAGGAATTATCCAACGTCTATTTTTGTCGTAGATCGTTGACGCGTCCGCACTGCTGTAACTGGCCATGGGATGCCCCTCCTGTCTTTCTTAAACGACTACGTATACGTCCTTGTTCCGCTGGAACATCGATTGCATCGCACTTAAGAAAGAAAACGAGCTATCGCCTAGGAGTGACTGGCGGGGCAAATAAATCTGTATCGGTTAGTACAAGCGCCCGTCATTGTCGCCAACATATGTACCTTGAAAAAAATTGCACGCCCATACGCTGTGTTCGACTCCTGTACCTTCGGGAGACCTTAAACTTTTGCATTATTCTTCGTTCCACAGAAGAACGAGCCATACCCAACTTTTCTCCATTACGAGTACGCACGTTTCAAAGGCTGTGTTCTAGGCAGATCCAAACTGTATTCTTTGAGCATAAAAAACTTCTCTCTGTCTGGGAGTCGAACCCAGCTTTCGCGCGCTCAGCATTAACGTCTTTCTGGTGATATGACAGGCGAGTGTACTAACCGATATACTAACAAAGACTATACCCTGTTTTCCTCGAGACTGACAAGATGGGGAGCACCTTGGGACCGAGTTCTAACAGGGGAGGTACGTGCAGTTATGTATGGCCATGAGCTGAATACTTTCCAAGTGCATGAACTCAATGTGGAAATAAATTAACCATAAATGGGAGTAACGGTCATGAATAAGGAATTCTGGTGGACAGTAAGTAGTATACTAATATATCCGTGTCGTACATTCACAAGTAATGTGCTAATTAGACAACACTGCCAGTGCAAAGATCTACTATCTCGTAACCAGCATGAAATCAAATAACATCGCCAAGCCTCGCTCGCAGTCCGACGTCGAATATAAATACGAATATGGATACGGATATGGATATGGATGGGCAAAAAAGAAATCGGGGAAAGTTGAAGGAACGTGAGTGTTTTCAAATTTCAAGTTGTTGTCATAGTTGGGGTTGATGAAAGTTGTGATGGTGATTCTGGGGGTGTCGCGATGGCATTATGGTTTAGCGGCCTCGACGCTGCCTTCGTCTTTCCCATTGGCTTGTGCGTGTTTAACCGCGGAGAGTTCGCGATGATGCCGGATCTCATCCTTGATATCGATTAAGTCTTTCTTGAGGTTCACGTCCCCGTTCTCGGGCCAGCGTTCCAAGCTCCATTGGCGCATGTAGGTGCTGCACTGCAATTCCACGGAGACGATATAAGAAGTTGTTAAGGTCAGTAAGAGTAAGGAAGCTCACCCTATAGTACCGCTTGTGCGCGTACTTTTTGTACAGCGATTCGTGTTGAACAGGATCGGTGATGATGTACTCCAACATAATAGTGGCGACTGGGATGAGCTCCTTCTCCGCATAAGTGGTATAGTGCTCGAGGTTGGCAGTCTGAATCATCAAGAAGGAAGAAAAGTAGTGAGTCAATCATCACAATATAGGGAGCAGGATGTGTCCACCCACCCATTCCTCCCGGCCTAAGGTCAACCTGGCAAGCCACATCGAAGCAGCTGAGAGCAAAGATGGTACCATACCAATCAAGCGCCTCTCGACACAAGCGACTTCGAGCAAATACTTGGCAATGGTTCGCGCATGGACTTCGCAGTCGTCTGCCTTGCTAGCACGCCTTAACCAGCCCATTGGACCAGGCGCGCGGAGATCCCAGTCAAGGGTCCTCAAGATGTACCTCTCGGCCTTGAGGATCTCTTCAACGGTATACTGGTCAGCGGCGAGGTACGCGATCTCTTTGACGGACGGCGAGTAGGTCTCTTCGAATTTAGTCGCAATAAAGAAGCAGGCGAGACCGACGAGCTGGACCTTCGAGATGGAGATGGGACGAGAACCAAGGAAACGGTCGAGGATATTCACACAGAGGAAGAACGACTCGGATAGGAGGTTGAACCGGGCATGGACCTGGAGGAGCCAATCGATCAGCACACCGCGGTGTTCCCAGGTGATTTCCGCTTGGTCTTTCATGTAGTCTGGGTTGGGCATCGTAGCCAACTGGACATGTATGAGTTAAAAATGAAAGCATTGTGACGGAAGACATGTACCTCGATTTCCTTCAAGTACACGCAGACGTCCGCGACGTATTCGCTGACCATCAGTGGGTCGTCCCAGTCCTCCGCGTCCAAGTCATCCCACAGCTGGACGTTGGACGACGAAGGCTCGACAGCCTCGAGTTCCGAGGCAACCTTGTCTGCCTCTGCTTGAGAATCGTCCACACATTTTGCGTGGATGACGGGCTTCTCATCCGTATGACGTCTCTTGAACACACGTCCCGTTTCTTCGTCTTTGTGCGGCTCGTCGACTTCCATCTTCTCTTGGACATGCTCGATCGCGGGCTTAGCATCGATGGTGACCTCTGTCTCCGTCTTCGACACGGTGGTGCTCTCGCTCGGAGCCCTGACCACAAGACGCCTGGAGGCAGCAATGCCGGCCAAGCGTCTGGCCGGGGGTTTAGCAACCGTTTTCTGTTTTGCCGCTGCAGCTTCCTTCAACTTTTCCGTCGTCGTCTCCTTGCCCTTGCCGGCTGGGACAGCAGCCTTTGCCTTGTTATTGCCGACCAACCCAGTGACCTCCACCAACACTTCCCTCTTCCTCTTTACACCCGTCTCCTTCTCATCCTTTCCGCTCTCTACGGTTTTGGCCTTCGAAGCCGCTGTAGACGCTGTGGCACGGGTGGTCGCGGAAGTGGCCGCGGTGCCACCTCCCAACACCGATTTTGCGCGTGAGGTGACAATTCTCGACGGTCGTGCGTTGGCATTTTCGTTATCCTTGGTAGAACGTGCCACTCTCGTCGTCCTCCTCACCTAGACAAATACGATGCCCAGTCAAGACTTGTTTCATTAAAGACGGTGCATAAACTTACTGGGATGGAGGACATCTTCCTCCGTCTCGGAGAATCAGTAATAGTAGGCGAATGTTAAGCTATGGTTGGAGGTGTCGCAGAGTGTCAGAAATGAGAGGAAATGTCCAGGTGATGATGAGAGCAGGAACAAGGCTTGCAAATGAATTTGAATGGTCAAATTTGGATAGAAAAATACAAGTGCAAATAAGTGGGACGCGTTGATCACGTGGGCGCGCGTCGCGTATTAATTGGAAATTGCATCTCTTGTCTCCTGTTCGTGCCATGAGGTATATCCTGGAGACACATAATAATGAATAAGTTCAGCTCTCTTTATTACTAAGTATCCTAATTTTTTATTTTAAAAACGAGAATCTACACCTACAGAATTCCATTTTCGTACTACGTCCCTGCCAGATGGCATTTCAAAGAACCAAAAGACTATGACAGTGCAACCAACCTTCGTGCCATCTATCCTGTGTGAAAGAGTTGAGTACGATAGGCTACCCGCAGCCGCAGCAGTACGGAGGCATAATCAACAATCTCTGACCCATTAGATAAAACTAGTGGTTCAATAGTGGTTGGATATAATCTATATCTATAAACGCGCTAATTTTCGCACGGCTACCCATCGTGTCAGAATCGACTGCGAGGCCGAAATTTGGGCTTAAGCCGATTTTTTTGGCACTAAAAGGGAGCTTCGGATGTTTCTTCGTCGTGCTGTACTCCAAGTTTTGCGATCGCGCAGAACAATCTATAGCTGCGACGGATTTTCGTGCTGTTTATATGTTTGGCATCAGCGTTAGCTTACGAAAGATGCAAGATGCCGAATTTTTGGCCGTGCGATTTTTGGCCTGTCGAACACCTCTTGACTGAAGTTGCTTTCTCAACCGCAATTGTACACCGTCGTTGAATCATACGACGAGGCAGCGTCTCACTGCGTCAAACTTTGATAGTCTGTGGTTATCCTAAACCGTTCTGAGAGAGTTTGCTGTCATTCTGAAATGAGCTGAGATGGATTTGCCAATGTTTCATCTTTCGTTGGTGAGCCTGTCTCAGATTATCGCTCGCTCTTAACACAACCATCATAGTCATTCGGGTTTGCTGTCATTTTCTTTATGTCTGCTATAAACCACTTGCGGCGGTCCACGCGTTTACAGGCTCATGATGAACGTGAGCCTGGGAGTTGGCGTCTGCCTCAGATTGTTTCGGTGAGTGGTTGAATATCTATGAGTAGTCATACTTTAAATGACAATTTGCATCGCAGGGGGTTGCGCCTTCTGCATACGAACATGCATTTGTTCCTCGCCAACAGCGTAGGCATGCAATGCGGACGTCGACTACGCATCACGTTGTTCCGTCCCAAATGTCTACGCAGACAGATAGTCGAATTGTCACACCATTCAATGGCAAAGTACAGTTAGTGGAACCGATGGAAGAAGTCAAAGAAGAGCCTGTTGTCACAGTTGGTAAGTGTTTGTATGATTCTCATAAAGTCATAGTTATGCAATCAACTTGTTTTGCAGACAATGAGCGCCAACCTCTGTCTGATATTGCACAGCAAGTGCCTCTCAAGAGCTATAGTGGCGATGACTTACAATTGACGAAGGCGACCGAAGAATTCGAAAAGGAGCGTGTTGTAGTCATGCGTACGTCTTTCAATAACTGTCATGAAAGAATAGTCATGTAAATGAACCATTTCACAGATGATGCGCGCCGTCCTTTGTTTGCTATTGCACGTCGACTGCCTGTCAATAGTAATCCTGTCCATGACTTAGGTTACATGAATATTGCATGTGATTTCTGTCATGCTCTTCATTGGGTTGACGAGCGCGTCGTTTCTTCTGCGAAAAATCAGCAAGCATTTGATAGCTGTTGTGCACATGGAAAAGTAGCTCTGCCTGCACTTCGTGTACCCCCTCGCGCGCTATATGATTTATTTGTCGACAACAGCTGGCAAGCGAAAGAATTTCGCAAGAATATCGTACAATACAATGCCGCGCTTGCTTTTACGTCGATGGGTGTCTCAATTGATAGGCGCTTTCAAAAATCGGGGCCGTCTGTCTTTCGCATTCATGGAGAACTGAAACATCTCATTGGTTCTCTCTTGCCAGAAGAGGGGCATTCTCCTACATATGCTCAACTCTATATCTACGACGTTCGAACGGCAGAACACTACCGCATGACACACGATCATAATACAGACCTTTGCGCAGAAACAATGTCTGTTCTCCAAGATGTCATGCACGATTACAATGCTTACGCTCCCATTTACCGCCATGCATATGAAATCCTTCAGGATTATGATGCTCCGGATTACACTATCCGCCTCTGTGTTCTTCCCAATCAAGATCCCCGTCGATATAATCTTCCTACGGCGGACGATGTTGGTGTAATCCTCCCGAGTGCAAATTCCATTCAAGGAGATTATCGAGATATTGTTCTCCATCTTCGTCCAGAATATTACCATTCAAAAAGCACACAGTCTCCTTTGCACTCCAATATTCTACTGCGGCGGGTCAACGAAGGACATTCAGCATACGCGCCTCTTCACTATGTTTTGTTCTTCCCCTACGGTGAAGCTGGTTGGTACCGCGAGATGTATCTACCAAACAATCCACGTCGTATTACCCTTCTGCAATATACGGCATATCGTATCCATCCCCGTGCCACAGAAT